CTAGAATAGTGTCACCCTGTAGATAATGTCTAGAATAGTGTCACCCCCCCCGCTGTAGATAAATGTCTAGAATAGTGTCACCCCTAGATAATGTAGAAATAATGCTGTAGATAATGTCTAGAATAGTGTCACCCCGCTGTAGATAAAATGTCTAGAATAGTGTCACCCCGCTGTAGATAATGTGTCTAGAATAGTGTCACCCCGCTGTAGATAATGTCTAGAATAGTGTCACCCCCGCTGTAGATAATGTCTAGAATAGTGTCACCCCGCTGTAGATAAATGTCTAGAATAGTGTCACCCCCCCGCTGTAGATAATGTCTAGAATAGTGTCACCCCGCTGTAGATAATGTCTAGAATAGTGTCACCCCGCTGTAGATAATGTCTAGAATAGTGTCTAGAAGTGTCACCCCGCTGTAGATAATGTCTAGAATAGTGTCACCCCCGCTGTAGATAATGTCTAGAATAGTGTCACCCCGCTGTAGATAATGTCTAGAATAGTGTCACCCCGCTGTAGATAATGTCTAGAATAGTGTCACCCCGCTGTAGATAATGTCTAGAATAGTGTCACCCCGCTGTAGAATGTCTAGAATAGTGTCACCCCCCCGCTGTAGATAATGTCTAGAATAGTGTCACCCCCGCTGTAGATAATGTCTAGAATAGTGTCACCCCGCTGTAGATAATGTCTAGAATAGTGTCACCCCGCTGTAGAATGTCTAGAATAGTGTCACCCCGCTGTAGATAATGTCTAGAATAGTGTCACCCCGCTGTAGATAATGTCTAGAATAGTGTCACCCCGCTGTAGATAATGTCTAGAATAGTGTCACCCCGCTGTAGATAATGTCTAGAATAGTGTCACCCCGCTGTAGATAATGTCTAGAATAGTGTCACCCCCCCGCTGTAGATAATGTCTAGAATAGTGTCACCCCGCTGTAGATGTCTAGAATAGTGTCACCCCGCTGTAGATAATGTCTAGAATAGTGTCACCCCGCTGTAGATAATGTCTAGAATAGTGTCACACCCCGCTGTAGATAATGTCTAGAATAGTGTCACCCCGCTGTAGATAATGTCTAGAATAGTGTCACCCCCCGCTGTAGATAATGTCTAGAATAGTGTCACCCCGCTGTAGATAATGTCTAGAATAGTGTCACCCCCCGCTGTAGATGTCTAGAATAGTGTCACCCCGCTGTAGATAATGTCTAGAATAGTGTCACCCCGCTGTAGATAATGTCTAGAATAGTGTCACCCCACCCACGCTGTAGATAATGTCTAGAATAGTGTCACCCCGCTGTAGATAATGTCTAGAATAGTGTCACCCCGCTGTAGATAATGTCTAGAATAGTGTCACCCCCGCTGTAGATAATGTCTAGAATAGTGTCACCCCCGCTGTAGATGTAGATAAGATGTCTAGAATAGTGTCACCCCGCTGTAGATAATGTCTAGATAGTGTCACCCCGCTGTAGATAATGTCTAGAATAGTGTCACCCCGCTGTAGATAGATAGATGTCTAGAATAGTGTCACCCCCTGTAGATGTCTAGAATAGTGTCACCCCGCTGTAGATGTCTAGAATAGTGTCACCCCGCTGTAGATAATGTCTAGAATAGTGTCACCCCCACCCCCCGCTGTAGATGTGTCTAGAATAGTGTCACCCCCCGCTGTAGATGTCTAGAATAGTGTCACCCCGCTGTAGATAATGTCTAGAATAGTGTCACCCCGCTGTAGATAATGTCTAGAATAGTGTCACCCCGCTGTAGAGAAGTGCAGATTTTGTGCTGTGACTGGAGCATAGAATGGAGGCCGCCCCCTTCTTCTGCTGACACTTGGAATGCCTTAATTAGAATGTAGATGTCACCTCAGTAATTGTTAGGAAGTCTTCACTTTCCAGCCTCCCACTAATTGTTCTGCACATTGGATGTAATTTATTAATCACATGTTGAAGCCGGGGGGTGAATGGATTCCCACTGTTCCTTTGTATTATGGGGACTCCATTGTTCCCCACCTCTAATCTTCGGGGATATAAATAGGCAGCCTGGCTGTCCATGGCTTTCTTCTGGATTCCTTGTGATCAGACATTGTATGCAGGTTATAGAGAATAGAATGGTGTGTAGGGAGGGCTGATGACAAGGTGTCCCCAGGTAGGGACTGTCCATGTGAAGTCAGGTCAGTGTACACACACAGGTAGTGCAGAGAAGTTGTCAGCAACAGTTTGTAGAGGTGGGGGGGGGGGGGAGAGGGGATCTGACAGCGTCATTGATTTCCAGCCCCCCGCCTCCTGCAGACAGATGGAGGAGTCCTTGTGATAAAGGTCCCCGTCAGTGTGTGTGTGTGTGTGTGTGAGTGTGTATGTGTATGTGTGTGTCTCCACCTCCCCATCTCGCTGGGGCTCCACCTTAGCCAAACAAGTCGGTGCTGCTCAGTGATCTCTTCAGCACCGCGGACAGCAGCTCCCTCCAGCTACACAAAGAGGAGCTCAGCGATCGCAGCACCTCCGCAGGACCCCATTCATTCTCCTCCCTGCCCTCCATCGACTGCCAGGCTTACAAGAGGGCAGAGAAGAACTCTGGGCAGGAGAGAAAAGGTAAGACCCCCCCCTGCTCTCACTTCATACTGCTTCTATTCCAGGCTGATTGAAAGTCTTGGATGATGGGCACTGTGGCTGGATCATGAAATGTATTATTTATATTGCACAGATTCTTCCCATCAGCAGGTCTGTGATGGATTAGGAGTTGGGTGAGGGGGGGTTTAATAAGACTCAGTGCCTGTAGCTAATATGGCAGTGTTTACACAGTTCTATGTGCTGCTGGGTGTGCCTTACCATCAGGCTTGGGCAAGGATCAATGAAGAAAGTGCACTAACCCTCAGCACCCTTCTCTCATTTCTCAGCTAAAAACCAAAGTTGGAATGTCATCAGTTGCTGCGGGTTACTGCAGGGTGCACACATCGACATCAACCTTTTTTTTATGTGGTAGATGACGTGTTGGACTGAGTGTGTGTTTTACTGGAGCAGAGCCTTTAATGAATGTGTGTTTGTTGATGGGCAGGCAACCTGTGGTTCTCCACCTGTAGCACTACTACAAGCCAGGGATTGCCAGGGGTTCCTGGTGCTGGAAGTTTCACATCGGTGGCAGGTTAAGATGTGTAGCTTCCCAAGCAACACAGCACGGTCTGGATACGCTTTGTCTTAGAAGTAAAGATAACTGCCATTTTTGTTGGCATTGGCAGCGTGATAAGAGATAGTACAGCACACCTAATGCATGGGATACACACAGGCTTTACAGTTAATCTGTCTCTCTCAAAGAATATCCACCACTAGTCTAGCTTGACACCGACCTTTCGGAGGGGTAGATTATATCATTAACCCGCAGAGTAGCTTTACCTGCCTCTTGCTGTGCAAATGAAGTGAGGCCGGCAATTAAAGAGATCTGCAAAGTTAGTTGTATGATAACATCGTATTGAGTTGCTCCCTGTATGCATTTTAATGGCAGAAGGACTGTGATACATTAATGTAGAAGATAAGTATTCTAAAATACGTCCCCCCACCACCACCACCACCTGCCCTGCATATCTCCTTTAAAAAGGAAGCCATTAATGAAACTGCAGAAACAAATCTTGAATTTAAACTCAATTTCCTGAGTAGTAATTTTTATCAAAACATTTATTTTTGCAGAGAGCACGTTTACTCTACAAAATCTCTGTGGACTTATTATTTTCCAAATATCCTACAATGTGAGCCCAAGAAAATGCAGTCTAGCTTACTCAGATGATGCAAGCAGTGACCTGTGCAATTCTGAAAAGAGAGTTGGGTGATATGGGATCATGTAAAAGGAGGCTGATGCTCCTCGCCAGAAACAGTGGGGTGTATTTACTAATGCTGGAGAGTGCAAAATCAGGCTTACTTCTGTATAGAAACCAATCAGCTTCCAGGTTTTATTGCCAAAGCTTGATTGAACAAGCTGAGGTTAGAAGCTGATTGGCTATCATGCACAGGTGCACCAGATTCTGAGTGAACCAACTTTAGTAAATCCCCCCATTGTGTTACCTTTGCAAATTGTATATGACTGGTGTTAAAAGCAAACTACTTGGGCATTCAAATTTTTCAGATACAATAGAAATGTGGCAATCAACATTGTTTCTTTGGGGTAGGTACACACTAGTTCTAGTTCTAGGAGAGGTTACCCCAGGAGATCTCACTGTTTTGTTGCTGTGCAAAACGCAGCATGGATCCCAGTGCTCACTTGTTGTGATCCTTGTCTTCAGTGTAATCCAAAATAAAATTCCCCTAGGACACTTGCAGCATACAACTTTAAAGAACAATTTCAGGCATGGTATATTTTACATACTGTAGTTACATTGGTCTAGCTTGGACCTACACTTACCAGCCGCTTTATTAGGTACACCTTGCTAGTGCCAAGAAAATATCCCCCACACCATTACACCATCACTATCAACCGGAACTGTTGATACAAGGCAGGATGAATCCATGATTTCATGTTGTTTATGCCAAATTCTGACCCTACCATCTGATTGTCACAGCTGAACCAGTCTGCCCATTCTCCTCTGACTGCTGACAACAAGGCATTTTTATCCACACAACTACCACTTATTGGATATTTTCTGTTTTTTTGGACCATTCTCTGTAAACCCTAGAGATGGCTGTGCATGAAAATCCCAACAGATCAGCAAATTCTGAGATGCTCAGACTAGCCTGTCTGACACCAACAACCATACCACATTCAAAATCACTTAAATCCCCTTTCTTCCCCATTTTGATGTTCAATTTGAACTTCAGCAAGTCATCTTCACCACTTCTAGATTCCTAAATGCATTGAGTTGCTGCCATGTGATTGACTGATGTGTTTATATACACTATATTGCCATAAAGTGGCCAGTGGGTGTATATACACTATATTGCCAAATGTATCTGGACACCCCTCCAAATCATTGGATTCAGGTGTTCCAATCACCTCCATGGCCACAGATGTATAAAATCCAGCACCTAGGCATGCAGACTGCTTCTACAGACATTTGTGAAAGAATGGTTAGCTCTCAGGAGCTCAGTGAATTCAGTTGTGGTACAGTGATAGGTTGCCACCTGTGCAATAAGTCCATCCGTGAAATTTCCTTGCTACTAAGTATTCAACGGTCAACTGTTAGTGGTATTATAACAAAGTGGAATCAACTGAGAACAACAGAAACTCAGCCAGGAAGTGGTAGGCCATGTAAAATGACAGAGCAGGATCAGTGTATGCTGGAGTGCACAGTGAGCAGAAGTCGCCAACTGTCTGCAGAGTCAATAGCTACAGACCTCCAAACTTAATGTGGCCTTCAGATTAGCATAACAACAGTAAGTAGAGAGCTTCATGGAATGGGTTTCCATGAACAAACAGCTGCATCCAAGCCTTACATCACCAAGTGCAGTGCAAAGCTTCAGATGCAGTGGTGTAAAGCACGCCGCCACTGGACTCTAGAGCACTGGAGACGTGCTATCTGGAGTGATGCTTCACACTTCTCTGTCTGGCAATCTGATGGACGTGTCTGGTTTTGGCAGTTGCCAGGAGAACAGTACTTGCCTGACTGCATTGTGCCAAGTGTAAAGTTTGATGGTGGGGGGATTATTGTGTGGGGCTGTTTTTCAGGGGTTGGCCCCTTAGTTCCAGTGAAGGGAACTTTTAAGGCATCAGTATACCAAGACATTTTGGACAATTTCATCCTCCCAACAATGTGGGAACAGTTTGGGGATGGCCCCTACCTGTTCCAATATGACTGCACACCAGTGCACAAAGCAAGGTCTATTTAGACATAGATGAGTGATTTTGGGTGGAGGAACTTGACTGACCTACACAGAGTCCTGACCTCAACCTGATAGAACACCTTTGGGATGAATTAGAGTGGAGACTGCGATCCAGGCCTTCTCATCCGACATCAATGCCTGACCTCACAAATGTGCTTCTGGAAGAATGATCAAACATTCCCATAGACACACTCCTAAACCTTGTGGACAGCCTTCCCAGAAGAGTTGAAGCTGTTATAGCTGCAAAGGGTGGCTAACTCAATATTGAGCCCTATAGACTAAGACTGGGATGCCATTAAAGTTCATGTGCGTGTAAAGGCAGGCGTCACAATACTTTTGGCAATATAGTTTACCTTTGCATATACCATACCTGTGGGATTCCTCTTGAATCTGGAAATCACTATGGTAGACACCACTACTCCAGTGATCTCCACTAGCTCCTGGGTCCCATGCCGAGCAGCTTCCCTGGTGCATTGTGAACACAAGAGGTTGGGCACCTTCCAAAGATCACTTTGATCTCAATGATCTCAAAGGTCTCAATGAATGCAAAGAGTTCTCTAATTGGAAGATGCGGGGTTGTGCCATCATGTAATTAAGCAAAATATATGCCACATGTTTTAAAATAATTGTTTATATGAATTTAAATTTTAAAAGCATGCAACAAAGTTTGAGTTTCCAAGGTGCATGCTTGCTTTGCATCAGTGACTTAAAAAATACTAATACCGAAGATAGCCAGGCAACTAGCATTTTCAGAAGGAGGTCTGCATTGGTAGACTCCTTATATCTCCTTAAAGGTGCTATTAAAGGCTGATTTTTTTTTTTTAATAACACATGTTCTACTTACACAGTTACATAGTATGTGAGGTTGAATAATGACGCCTGTGTGAGTGTGTGCATGTGTGTGTTTTATGTCAATATCATTTCCCATATCCCTGTATATTGCATTCACTGATGCCCATCTAAGAGTTTTATGAAACTACTGACATTTCCCGCTGAAATCACTGATTTCAGAAGGGAATTCCACATCCTTACCGCTCTAACAGTGAAGAACCCCCTATGCAGTTTAAGGTTAAACCGCTTCTCCTCCAATTTCATTGCTGGGCATGTGTCTTCTTAAAGCGATATTAAAAGTTCATTTTTTTTTTGTAAAAAAAACAAACATTATATTTACCTTCTCTGCTTAGTGGTTTTGCACAGATCAGCCTTGATCCTCCTCTTCTCGGGTCCCCTGCAGGCTCTCCTGGCTCCTCCTTTCTGTTGGGTGCCCCCATAGCAAGCAGCTTGCTATGGGGGCATCCGCTGCTCCATGTGTCCATTCACAGACGGAGCCGTGGCTTGGCTCTGCCCCTTGTCTCTCTTCATTAGCAGACTGCCAATGGCTCCCGCTTGCTGTGTCAGCCAATGAGGAGGCAGTGACCCAGGACAGCCGAGGTTGTCGTGCACATCACTGGATCTCAGTGGGTCTCAGTATGTATTGAGGGGGCTGGGGGCACTGCTGCACACAGAAGATTTTTTTACCTTCATGCATAGAATGCATGAAGGTAAAAAACCTTCAGCCTTTACAACCGATTTAGGCTCTTTGAAACGGAACAGTTTTCTTCCTATGCTGGGATCACCTTTGAGGTATTTGAATATAGCTATCATATCTCCTCTCTTAACTTCTCTGCCTTATCTCCTCTCTTACCTTACCTCTCTTACATTATTTACCTGCTCTGTGCAGTGTTTTGCCCAGAGCAGCCCTGATCCTCCTCTTCTTGGGTCCCCCACCAGCGCTTCTGGCCCCTCCCTCCTGCCGAGTGCCCCCACAGCAAGCAGCTGTCCATTCAGACACAGAGTGCTGCTTGGCCCCGCCCACCCCCACTCTCTCCTAATTGGCTCACTGGCTGTGATTGATAGTAGTGGTAGCCAATGGTGCCTGCTGCTGTCTCAGCCAATGAAGAGGGAGAGACCCTGGAGAGCCTCTACTCTCGTGCACATTGCTGGCTCAAGATGGGGCTCAGGTGAGTTTTTTTGGGGGGTTGCTGCACACAGACGTTTTTTTTTTACCTTCATGTATAGAATGCATAAAGGTAAAAACCGTTGAGCCTTTACAACCACTTTACAGTTGGCTAAAGCTGAAGTTTAGCTAGAAAGAAAAAATCTCTACAGCTTTAGTCACATCACTTATCTGTAGTGAAATATGTATCACATGGTGAAGGTAGTTGGATCCTGAATAAATCTTCTCTGCAGGGATGCCTGTCCTCTTCCTGACATTGAGCTACCAGCGCTGCAATGGTTGGGTGTTCAGGAAGATTAGCAGTAAAGAAGGTTCTATGGGGATTAGCCCCCTCCTCCCTCCTCATCCATTCAGGAATGTTCTTTCATTGACTGTGTTGCCTATGACATGATCTGAAAATGGGGGAGAGGATCCTGTGACTTATAAGAGTCTCCCATTCATAGATTGTGTCATAGACCACGTAATCAATGAAAAAACATTTCTCAATGGAGGAAGAGGGAGGAGGGAGTGGTTCTTCATTGAACCACTTGTACAAATGGGATTCCCCGCTGTCAGAATACACTGATTAGCGCTGCAACTTATTGACTGCAAACCGCTGATCGAACAAAATTTTCCAGCAGTATAGTTCAACAGAAGCTGATCTAACAGTCGTCTTCTGTTGAACCAGGAGGGCTACATATGAATCAAAGTTCAGCCAGTCCCTGCTAAACCAGTCAAATTTCAATCGTGTGTACCCAACTTTAGAGACATCAGGCAGCTAGTTTTCACCTTTTTAATCCTTTATTTCATCTCAGTGCTGTTAAAGAATATGTAAACCCAACATTTCATATTCCTGATATTTGCCTGCTGTACCATGTACTTCTATGAAAAAGTATCTTGTTCTCTTTGTATTGCTTCCTTTGTGTGAAATCCCTGGTGTTCCTACAAGTTCCTCTGCTGTCCTTTAAATAACTGACACTACACTAGGCATGAGAGCACAGTGTGGTCAGTTCTCTAGCTTAGCTGTGCTGGGAGCTGATCCAATGATCAGATGTTTCCTGAGCACCCACCACCACCACCACCGCCAGTGCTAGAGAGTTTACCCTTAACTTCCAGTCCCATATTGTTGAAGCAGGACAAGAAGTGCGGGGAGTTGTCACAGAGACAGAAAACCACATACAATAGTAAAATCAATGAGCAAGGGTCTAAAGCTGACCATACACTAGTATTTTAGGAAGGGTCATTATTTTCTACTCATTATTGAGGTTGAATCGACATTTGTTTTTACCACAGTGACAAAAAATTTGAAGGAGAAAGATGGAAAATTTTTCTTGAACAAATGGATTTCTAATGATGAATGTGGTTTTTGTACAGTAAAACCTTGTTCCAAAATTGAATTTTAAAGCAAATGAAATTTTGAAGTACTTTTAAATGTCATTCATCAAGCCATTGAATGTACTGGGAATTTTCATATGAACGTCCGTTTGAAAATCTACTAGTTTATGGCCAGCTTTAGCCTTTTCATGTTACTAAGTTACCAGAACTGGGATTTACATTTTTCTATTTCATGAATTGGGGCCAGCATGTGTTAACCACATAAGTGATTCATACATTTATCCATTCATTTTAAAATAATGCATTAAGGGGTGAATCCATTTAAAATGGATTTCTCCTGTGGACAACAATGTGTTTCATTTACAAAGACTTCTTACACTCATGGGTATCCCCAAGATTGAGAGCAGGTTTGATTCATAGATATCCACTCCACAACAGCTTTAATAAAAATTAAATAAAACCAACAATTCACCCATCTTATGCTCCTTTCTCCATGTATTTCTTTGAGGAAACCAGGTTGTAGATGTCACTATTTTTTTTAGCATACCTAACATAAATATGATAAAAAAAACAGAAGGACAGTGCAGAGTCAGAATCTTAAAAGCCAAACCATACCTATTTATAAACCACTTTGGTTCTATCGCATGATCCCACTGCTCTAGCTCCCCAGTGTCAGTAAGTGGCTGCTGCACAGGAGAAGAGGAAGCTCAGACAATGGTTTGACTATTGGGAACCTATGGGTGACATCATGGCTCCTGGAATTCAGAGCCGCTGTCAAGCATTCCCTTACACAGAATCACAGAATCACGTGGCCAGACCATATTAAAAATAGGTAAGTATACAGATATTTCTTATACAGATTAGGTAGGAGGAGGGAACATTTAAAAAAAATATATAATTAGGGTTTTCTTCCAAGTTTATGGGTTTTATTCGTTCTGAGGAGTTCAAGAGTTTTAAAAATGCGAAGGTTAACCGCTACTTCAGGTTATATATTGGAATGAAACAAGAACACTTGTGTGTTTTGTGTTCACGGGGAATATTTCTGACTGATATCTCAATTGTAACTTTGGTTAAATGCTATGACTCTTTTGGAACATCTAGAAGACACTTTTCAATCATACAATGAAAAATACCCATGTATTCTGCTGCCTCGTTACTGATAAGAACCAATTACTGTAACATAAGGGATAATAAAATGCAAGTTTTAAAAAAGAAAGTTTGATCAGAGTTTTCTCATAGTATAAATGATGCTTGTGGTATTTATTAGTCAGCTACGT